GATGGTGAAATAGATGGGATATTATTTATAGGCTTCAAGTTGGATAGTTGAAGTGGAGGAATGCATTGGGCCTATTGTGTGATCGGAAAGTACCTCTCAAACTTAAGGGAAAATTCTATATTCTAAGACCTGCAATGCTTTATGGCACAGAATGTTGGCCATTAAAAGAGAAGCATAAAATTAAGTTAAGTGATGTAGGCATGAGGATGCTCAGGTGGATGAGTGGCTTCACTCTTATTGACAAAATGCGAAATGAGTAAATACATGAAAAAGTTGGAGTAGCTCCAATGGCAGTAAGATTAGAGAGAGTCACCTTAGATGGTTTGGTTTCATACATCATCGGGCTTTTGATGATCCGGTTAGGAGAGTACATGTATTACATGTTAGGAGAGTCACCTTAAGAAAGGTAGAGGTAGAACTAAAAGACTTGGTTAAAAAATATTAGAAATGATATTTTTTTATTAGATTTAAATGATAATTTGATTCTTAGTAGGGAACAATGGAAAAAAAAGATTCATATAGACAAACCCACATAGTGAGATAAAGACTTGATGTTGTTGTTACCATGTTTTTAAGGTGATACTTTTTTGTATTTTGTACAAGTTATCAATTATCTAGTTTACCTGATTTTCAAGATTCTTGTGATTAATATTTAGTTAAAGCTACTTATTATTTGTTCTCAATTGATTTATCTCCAGGAGTGCTTGTTTCTGCATTGAGAGTCATATGCAAATCCATCTTTCCACAAGACGCTACTGGATTGAGAAACAGTGCTAACCTATACTTCGCAGTTGCAATAGTAGTAATGATCATCTGCATCATATGCTACAATATGGCTGAAAAGCTTCCTGTTGTCCAATACTACAAAAACATCAAATTGCAGGCAATAAAAGAAGAGAGAGATTTCAAAATGCTAACTTTAACTGGTTCTGCCTGGAGATCAACTTTGTATAATATTTTTGGAAGGATCAAATGGTATGGCTTTGGACTCTTCCTCATGTACGTTGTAACCCTCTCAATATTCCCAGGATTCATTACTGAAGACGTGCACTCCGAAGTCCTCAAGGATTGGTACCCCATAATCCTAATTGCTGGATACAATATTTTTGATCTGGTGGGGAAGGCTCTGAGCGGAGCTTATCTCTTACGGAATGCCAGTGTTGCTGTAGGCGCCTGTGCTGCAAGGCTGCTCTTCTATCCTCTATTCTTTGGCTGCTTGCACGGCCCCCAGTTCTTCAGGAAAGAGGTACCTGTGACAATTTTGACGTGCCTTTTAGGCCTAACAAATGGGTATTTTACTGCTGTTGTTTTGATTCTTGCTCCTAAGGCTGTGCCAATACAACTTGCTGAGACTGCAGGAATTGTTATGGTTCTGTTCCTTATTGTTGGTTTAACTGTAGGGTCAGTAGTGTCTTGGTTCTGGATTGTTTGATTGCTTTGAAGGTGAAGCTGAATTTGCTTAATCTGTTTTATAAATTTGTGTGCAAATGTATAATATTGTCAGATTAAGACCATGACAAATTAATAATGATCTGTTGATCTGGTTCAGATTTGATGCAATCATAATTTCTGTATTTTTATTTTTTGAATATTGAACAATAGTTTTCAATTTAGTTTTATATTTTTTTTAGCTATCCAATGATGGGAAAGCATTCAAAGATCATGGTAGGTTGTGCTTGGGCTTGGTAGACCTTGGTTTGCTAGCTTGATGGGTCCTTGGGCTGCTGATGGTTCTCGGGTTGGCTTATGGTTGTCGGTTTGAGCTTTACTCTCTAAGTTGATAGCTCATTATTGTTGAGCTGAAGTTTAGTTCAATCATTGGGAGATTTATTGAACTACTTTGCTCATTAATCTAAAAAGGTATGCTCTTAAGACTTGGATTCATTTTGGAGTGGACTTGTCTTTTCTCCTCCCCCTTTTTCTTCTCATTTCTCTGTGCTGGGTGATTTCCGTGCTTTGCCCCTTGGTTTTCCGAGAATGGCTGTTGGTTTCCTGTGCTGGGAAGAATTCTCGTGCCTTTGCCCCTTTGGTTTCGCGGTTGGCTTCTCGGTTCCGTGCTGGGCTGCTCGGTTCTACGGTTCCTTGCTTGGTTCAGTGGATTTCTTTTCTCTGTTTTGCTGCACCGTTTGGGAATTGTATTGAGGCTGTTGGCCTTTCATTTCTCTTAATATTATTGGCTTTGGGTGGTGCTTTGGTTGTTGTGTTCTCCTCTCTTGCCTATATATTGAAGATGTCTTTTGAGGGGAAAGGTTGTTGAAAATTGTTGAACTTTGTCTCTTTAAAAACCTGGGAGTTTTCTTCTTGGAAAAGCTTGAGAGCTTTGTCCACTTTTTCTTCTCCTCTATTTCGTCTGGGCTTCTTACCTCTTTCTTCTCTACGCAAGTTCCACTCCATTTGTATCCTTCTTCTTGAGCCGAGGTGATGTTTGTTGGCTGATTTGGGAGCATTTGCTGGAGGAGTTTGGATTGGACTATCTTGTTATTTGCTAGCCCTAAGCACATATTTTACTTAACCTACATTTCGATGCATGTGAGGAAACCGTTCTGTCGGTTGTTCTGAGGATAGCGATTTTTTTTTATTTCTTTTGTTTCTCTTGACTTCTCTTCTAGTTTTTGTCCGTCGGTTTTGTGCTAATAGATGATTGCTACTATTTGAATCGAGTTTGGCTATAGTTTTTCCCATTGTTCTCCTTGTTTGGCTTTTCTAATATAGTGTGCTTGCATCAAGATTTGATTGTTTTGCTTGTGCATATGTTGTTTTCAGTATGAACTGTTGCTTTTATTGTATTTGTGTCTGAAACTCCGAAAATTTGATTGATTGCTAGTTTAGGGTTTATTTTTGAACAATGGTTCATAAAGTTAATATCAGATGATTAGAATAAGACTAATGATAATGATGATTTCAAACTTATTTTTTAGATTGCCGTGATATTTTGATAGCATGTTTTTAATTATTGGTTCACTTGAGATTAGGGCTGTCAAAATTTGGTCATGGGTCGGGTTCGGGTTGAACTCGAAATTGATTCAACACAAGTTGGCCTGACTTGAACCCAATTTATTTTTTTCAAGCGTGTAAGATATTTCAATCAGGACCCAACCTGAGCCTTTACACGTTCTCGTTCAGGCATCGCCGCTGCTATATCGTCGGCAGCGACATAGCAGCGGCGATGCGGGTGGACTCGATGCGACGTAATCACATGGGCAGACGCGACGCAGGCCGAGCGGTTAGTGGGAGAGCTCAACGCGGGCAGACGTGACAACGACGTGAAGTGGCCACGTTGGCAGACACGACGCGGGTAGAGTGGTCAACGCGGGCATGACAGACACTCAAAGTGGGCAGAGTGGTCTGCATGGTTGTTCTGGGTTACTCCGAGTCATTCCTTGGTTTCCAGCTCAATCTGAACCTAACTTGATTTTTGAAACTGGT